GGGGGGGGCCGTAACGGTCACGCGTGGCGCTGTCCCCGCCCCTCTCCCTCAGGACGCTCTTCTGATTGGCGGGCGTTCCCTGGATGCCGCTTCCTCATTGGCGGGCCGGGGCTTCCGTTGGGTTTGAAATCGTGCGGCGGCGGCGCAGGGGTTGCGGCCGGTGGTGGGTGTAGCGTGCGCCGCCTCAGCTGAGCGCCCTGAGGCCTCGTCCCGGGAACTGCCGGCAGGTACGCGGGGCTTGGGGACCCCGCTGTAAGGCGGTGAGAGGCTGGGGCGAAGTGTTTAGGTATCCCTTTGTGAGATTGGGTGCTGCAGGGGGCTTGGTGACTCTTCTGTGAGCGATGCGGGGGAAGGCTCAGAGAAGTTCGGGCTCTGTAAGCTTGAGGCAGTGTGGGACTGGGAGGGGCTGTGTCGGGGCCTCTTGGTTAGATTGGACCGCTCGGGGACCGCTCTGGGAGCTTGGGGTTGGGAGAGGGTTTAGGGCCTTTCTGTGACTCTGGAGTACTGGGGTAGGGGAGCTCTGGGGTTACCCTGTGAGTTTGGGGGGAGGCTTGGTGACCCCTCTAAGCTTGAGGTGGTTTGAGTTTGATGAGGGGACTGAGGACCCCAGAGTAAGCTTGGGGTGGTGTGATGCTTGGGGAATTTAGCGAAATTCGTGCTTGGGGTGGTGTGATGCTTGGGGATTTTAGCGAAATTCGTGCTTGGGGTGCTGTGGGACCGGGGGTGTCTCCTTGTCTGGGGTGTCAGGAGCACTTCTGTGAGCTTCAGATTAAGATATTTGGGGGTTATTTCTGTCAGTTTAAGGATGAAGCGAAGGTAGGAGCTTGGGGGTAATGGCAGGAGCTCAGGTGCTCCGCCCCACTGAAGTTGGGGGTGAGGTGAGGGTCTTGGGAGCATCTCTGTGTGTTTTGAGGATGATACGGGGTTGATGGGTAACCCGGGGTGAGTCAGGAACTGGAGCAGGGTTGTGGTTGGGTTTTTTTTTGGTTTTTTTTGTTTTGTTTTTTTTTTAAAACACGTCTCGGTGCCTTGATGGGCAGGGATGGAACTCCTGAAAAGCCCTCCCTGCCCTTGCTGCTCCTCCCTTGCAGTCAGGAAAAGGTGATTAGGATAGACTTGCTTCTCGGGAGAGTATTTATTTGTTCTGACGTGAGATATTTGCACGAAAATAAATATATATCAGTCAGCTCTGTGTTAGTTTGTATGGAAATATTCACTGCACGTACCAACATGTTTTGCCATGAGTGAGTGCTCTGCATCTTGGGTGCTGGAGGAGTTCAGAAGGATAATTAAGTAGAAAAATTCCCTCTCTGCCCTGCATGTTCAGCGGCTTTTCAGACATTTGAGACCATGTTGGTATTTTGGATATTGGGTTCCATTATTTGTTAAACAACAGGTTGCTTGAAGCACTTTACAAATGATAGATGACTGAGGATTAATTATCTGATGTCATGTCATTGAATTTATGTTGATTCTTAATTGTAGAATGGTAGGTTTCCTGCATGTGCCCACATAATTATTCTTCTAAAACAAGGAGCGTTTTCATTTTTGTGAACTTTGATAGCTCCATGGAAAAGTTTGGGTTGAAAGGGACCTTGAATATCATCTGGTTCTAACCTCCCTCGCAGGGAGGGAACCCTCTCAGGGACATGGACACCTTCCAATAGACCAGGTTGCTCCAAGCCCCATCTGGCCTTGAACTTTGCTGTGCTATAGTGAGAAAACCTGCTGCCTTTCATAATTCTTGTGTGCCTTGGATGCTGACCACTTTAAACACAGATATGAATAAGGCTTCCCTTCTACTTTATCACACCTACTAGCTAATGAACTTGTGGAATACAATTTAGATCAAATCTTGACTGCAAATTTTTAAAATAAAATTAATTACTTTTAATATTTCAATCCTAGAAAGAAACTTGATTTTTAGATTTAATATCTAAAGTGGTAGATGTATATGCTGTCAGTTTATTTGGTTTAGCAAGGATGTGCAAGTAGCTCAATGACAAAGCTGAAAAAGTCTCCAAACAAACTTCCCCTGCTTATGGAGCTTGTTTTAGAAGGCGTTGAAAAATTTTCTGTGTCCTAGGCTTGTTTCTAAAATAATTACAGTAAAAAATTAGGTTTGTAAAGATTCACTTCATCTGTTGTCTCAATTTTAGTTTGGAATAAAGGAAAGCAATGATGTTCACTTCAAGTTCTACAAGTGATTAATGTAAAAATACTTAATACAAAAAATAACCTGAAGCATTAATATGATGAATAAAGAAGGAATGAAGATATAGCTAATAATGGCGTGCTTTGCATGCCATTGCTTCTGCAGCTATTGTTTGCATTCCACTGCTGATTGAAAGTGCTGCTGTCAGGCTTGCAGACAAAGCAGCTGAGTTCTGTGGAGAGTATGAAACAAATTTTCCTGTAAGGATTAATGTAGGAGTGGAGAAATGTTTGGAGGATTATGTACAGAAATTTAAATACACAGGGGAAAAGGAGATTGAAAACATGACTTAAAATTTTCAGTCGAAATGTTCTTGTTACCTCTGTATGACACTGAAAACAATCATATGTAGTCTTCCTCAGCTGATTTTCTAGATTAATCCTGAATATACGATGGAAAAATAGGCTAAGGTCATGACATGTTTGGTCAAATCAAGCATTTGAGATCACTTAGAATGGTTACACATTGCAGAAAGCCAGTGTCTCTTCACTTGATACTGGTAATCTTGCACATGATAAGAGAATACATCAACTCTTATGAAATAAATTGCTTTGATAGCAGTTTTTCCGATAAATAACTGCACTTCTCAGGTGTCATCCTTCACAGACAGTGGTTATGCTTAGATCTTCCTTGCCTTACCTTCTGTCTGTTGCTTTTTTTTTTCAAAAGCAGCTGTGCATCACTGAGTGTTAGTGTTAACTTTTAAGAACAGCAGAGGCTCCAGTGGGAATAAAAAGCAGGCAGAGTTCAAGTACATACAGCATGGTGGCTTGCCTGGTGTATTTTAAGGCTGCTTTGTACTTTTTTTCTAATTTATTTTCATCTTTAATCTTAGTTGCAGCCAAGGCTTTAGTTTCAAGTTCTTCACACTAGTATAACTAGATCAGTATTTAACAATCTACCAAAGCTTGTGCATGTCCATTATAAAAACAATATTTCAGAAATACCTTTCTAATGATGATTTTTCTCAGATTTGCATACCAGTGATGTCTGTGCTGCAAAGGATTCCTAAGTACTATGTACTTTACAAGAGCAGCATATGCTCAGACAGTGCAGGAGAAGGCTAATTTAATTCAGGGCTCTGATCCCAAACACACCCTAACTAGCCAAATTTGTTTCTGTGGTTTGCTGGTGTACAATGTAGTAATGAGACCATGTGAGTAAACAGATGATTGTCATCTGTCTCATCTGCCCCTTGCAGAAGCAGTTGTGCTGCTTAGCTGGATGCCCTGCTACAAGAGATGCGGCTGTACCTCACTGGCTGAAGGGGTTGGGAATGGGGAAACATTGAGCTCCCTTTAAAATTAGTAAGGCAGCTTAATTAGTAAGGCTAGAATGTGAGCTGTGGAAGGTATAATGTCAACAATTAGCTTCTCAAGCCCCTACCAAAAGCAGTGGGGCTTTGCACTGCTGCTTTTAAATACCTCAGAGAAAGGCCCTGTGAAGACTTTCCAGGAAATGCTTCCAACTTTCACTTTGAAGCTGTTAGTCTTGGATAGTCAATCCCAGGCTGCCAACTTCTTCCATTATCTCGAAGTGCATCTGGCTGACCACACCCTCTCATTCATGCTGCGGTGCTGTGTGTGTTGATGTTCTAGAATGAGTCTGCAGATTTTAAATGCAGAAAATGCAGAAAATGGAGGAAGCATTAAGGATGATTTAACAGTGGAAGACTGTGGCTTTTTCTTTGCGCCGCCGGAACCTACGGGGAGACCTTCTATTCTTCGCCTGTCCCAGAAAGAAAACTTGCCACCAAAAAGCGTGGGAAAAGTGATGAAGGTAAACTTTTGGTTTTGTATTATTTTTATTCTTTCTCCTTCTATGATCTCTTCTACTGAATGCATGTGCTATTTGGTGCTTGAAAAATACCGTGCTAATGTTTTTCCTTTTTTTTTTTCCTCCCACCCTTTTCTTAAGGTAACCTTTCAAACTCCTCAAAGAGATCCTCACACTCGAAAAATCCTGAGTCCTACTATGACAGATAAACTTCAGACTGCTTTTGCACTTGACGATTGCCGTGAAGATGTGGCAGATGATGTTTTAGTTGCACTCTCTTATTCTGAGTGAGTAGTGAATCCGATGCTTGCTATGTTACCCATGTGGGACATGCTCAAGTTAATTTTGCCTATTTTAAACCTGTATAGTTAAAAAAATAATTTTCTATTCTATAACAAGATATAAATTGTGCAAGAAGACCAAAATTAATACTGACCAATTCATGAACTTTTTCAAGGTAACTTATTACTTTTAAGAAAAT